CTTACGGAGTAGCAAGATCTCTTGGAGTTCTGGGGCATCTGCATACGTGTGTGTGTGTGTGTGTGTGTGTGTGTGTGTGTGTGTGTGTGTGTGTGAAATGTTCACCCGACCCAGTGTTCCTGCAAAGAGTCTTCTCCCCCCCTTCAGCACAAAAACTCAATTTGTTTTTATGCCCAAGAATAAAGTTCTGTGGTCCACTTGTGCATAGCTTGAGCACAAACCAGCTCCTTCCTTGTGGGAGCTTCCATCTTTCTCCAAGGTAGGTTGATCACGGTGGGCCTCTGGGTCACACACATGGATCTTTATAGCTCTGTCCCTCACCGACAAGTGCTTGAACCAAGCCCCCAGCCACACAGCAGCTTTTTGACTCTTGCTCCCTGGCTGTGGGCTGCTGAGCTGTGCGCGCAAGGCCCATACACTGGAGAGACGCGGCGAGGGTTTGACAAAGACTTACAGGAACCGGGTGGACATAGAAGTATTCCCTGCCGTTGGAGACCAACCGTGGGTTCCCAGGGGTGGGGCAGAGAGAGGCAGACAGGGCTGTGTGCACTTTTCCACCAGGCTGTGCAGAGAAGATCCAAAGATTGTTGTGTGCCGCAGCTCTCGGCTGGTTAGCTCTGTTAGCCCGACACAGCCTAGAGCCACTTGGGAGAGAGTCCCAGTGAGGAGCTGTCCAGATCAGGTGGGCCTGTGGCAGGGATGTAGAGGGTTGTCTTGTTTGTTCCTTAAGACGAGAAGATGCATTCACCCTGAACGCGGGCATCACCAGAGCTGGGCCCTGAGCTGTAAGTGTGAAGAAAGTCAGAGGGGCAGAAGTGTCCGCTTTCTTCTCTGTTCTTTTTTTTCGGGGGCGGAGGGGTTGAGACAGGGTTTCTCTTTGTAGCCCTGGCTGTCCTGGAGCTTGCTTTGTAGACCAGGCTGGCCTTGAACTCATTGAGTTCTTCCTGCCTCTGCCTCCTGGGTGCTGGGATTGAAGGCGCCCCCCTCCCCCGCTCTCTGGTCTTGACTGTGGATGTGACGTGTGAGCTGCTCCACATTCGGCTTTGACGTTCCTCATGACTGTGACCTGGAATTCCGCAAGCTTTTCCTCCCCTAAGCTGCTTTGTAGCAGGGTGTTTTTTTTTTTATCACAACAGAAAGGGCACTAGGACAAACCCTACAGGGTAACGGAGTTTCATTGTTCTGCCGGACTCTGCGACGTTTCCCCTAAAACAGCCTCACACAAAAGCTGTCCGAGTCCAACAGCACAGGTTCCTAGTCTGGACCGTGTTATCAGAGTGACTCAGAAGCAGAGGAGCAGGGGTGTACCCCCAGAGTTTAGTATGTTGCAACCCCAGCTCTACATTCCTAACAGTTCTCAGGAATATTAATATAGACCACACCTCCATCTACACACTCTTTACCTCAAAATCTCATGGTTTCTATGAATGTTGTCAGGAAATAACCCAGAGGCATTTTCTGCGTGCCACCCTGTCTCGGTTCCTTTTAGTGCAGATGAAGTGTCTCTGTTTCCCTCCAGGTATTAGGAAGAACAGGAATTAAGTACAGTCAGGTTTAGGAGTCCTACAAAGATCATCTAGAACTCAAGAAATGGCTTCATGCTTAAGAGAGTTTACTGCTCTTTCAAAAGACCTGTGTTGGCGTGTCAGGCGGGAACACATTAGGCAGCTCACAGCCTCCTGTAACACTAGATCCAGGGGAATACAACGCCCTCTCCTGGCCATTGAGAGGAACTGCACCCATGCGCACATACCCCTGTATAGACACATAGGAATAAATACACATAATTAAGAATAAAAGAAAATCTTTAAAAAAAGACCATCTACTTTTTTTTTTCTTATTCACATTTGCAGAGAAAAATTTGTTTCGGCCACATTAAAGAAAAACTCCAGTCTTGATATTTAGGAAAAAAAAAAAGAGTTCATTCCTTCATCCTTCCAAACAAGGTACAATACAACTGAGTAACAATACACATTTCTGAGAAACACAACAGTATCTTATATTCCTTACTGCTCTTTAAGTATAATTCAGATATTAAGAATAAAAGGTTCTAATTATATTAATACATTACAGAAACCAAAATTAACTTACCACATAAAATAAATTAAAACATTACATATTAACCTTCAGTGCATCATATACAGAAGTCAGAATGATGAGTTCTAAAAACCGCATCAGGTTCCTTATAATAAAGTTATTACGCTATGGAGAAGAGTTGCTTCTCAGTACTGCGCGTGTGTACAACACTATGTCTTTGAGACAGATCAATGGCTTCAGGGAATAAATCTTACACTAGAACATTAAAAACAAACATAATCCAGGTGTGGTGGCACACACCTATAACCCAGGAGGCTGAGGCAGAGGAATCATGGGTTCAAGGCTAGCCTGGGCTATAGAGTAAAAACCCTGTGTCAAAAATGTATGTGTTGTTTAATATGGCCTCTCCTTGGTCCTGGGAGAGACAAGCTTAGAATTCACCACAGGACTGGACCTGCAGGCAATGTTAGAATGTTGCTGGTTCGTCCAGTGTCTCACAGGCACTAGGAAACCTGGGCTGGGGACCCTAGGTGGCTTTCTGTACTTGAAGGGAACAGGCCACCATCTAAGCCTCAGCCACAGTCTCCTCTCTCACCAGTGTGAGCGTTTAGGACCAACCCTGCCTCTTTCCCCTTTTTGGGGGGAGAAAAGGGAATTTGGGACTATTGTTCCCATCTTTTTTTTTTTCCGGGACCCATGACAAACTGACTCATGACTTGGCTCTGTGTCTGTCCACTTGGAATCTGTCTTTTGGGTTGGAGTCTTCATTGTATTTTTCCATGGAGAAAATGTGTCCCATGGTGTGTTTAAAGTTACAACTAGAGGTGTGGAGGCCTTTCTAAAATTCATTTTTATTTTTAAAAATGAGAGAGAGAGAGAAAGAGAGAGAGAGAGAGAGAGAGAGAGAGAGAGAGAGAGAGAGAGAGAAGACCAGTTCTCTCCTTCCACCACGTGGGTCCCAAGGATTGAACTCAGGCCCCCAGGGTTGTTGGTAAGTGCTTTTACCCATGGAGACATCTCGATGTCCCTAGAATTAATTTTAATTCATTCAGTGGGGATGTTCATCGTCCCCCGAGTCACTGGAACAGCTGTGCTGTCCACTGTCCTGTGTGGCTGCTGAGGAATTCTCCTTATTTA